GGAATGGGGAGGCCCTCAACCCTGGGTTTGCACCCACATTCCCCAGAGGAGAAGCAGCACCAGGGTATGAGAACCTGCCCTCATAGGTTTCCAAGAACAGAAGGGGGAGAATAAGCCAGATGTGCTGCCTCAGGGACAGGGAGGTGCTGGCAGAGTGAGGGTTAAGGCTGGCGCCCGGCCTCTGGCACGGTGGGCCTTCCGCCTCTGCCTGCCTTGGGGACAAAGGGGCACGGTGGGCAGGCAGCACATGGGCCTGGCTCTGGCAGGGCAGGGGGTGGCAGGAGCAGGCTCCCTCTGGGCTCAAGACACAGGCCCAGCATGGCTGCCCGCCCACCTGCTCTAGATGTGCTCAGACCCCACTGCAGCTGGACGGCTCGAGCTGTGAAGTGTGGAAGGGGCAGGGAGGGGAGGCAGGGAGGAAAGGGTGGGCTGCTGGGCCCCTGTGGCCCCCATGCCCTTCCTGAGGTCCAGCCCAGGGCCCTGGATCCTGGGTCCTGGATCCCCTGGTCCCATTCCTGGCCCTGGGTGCTGACTGTTGACAGGGACTGCAGCGGCCAGGGAGGCTCTCAGTTCTTGGGGAAGGGGGGGTGGGGTGGGGTGGGAAGGCAAAAGGGTAAGGAGAGAAACCCACTGCAGCATACATGGGGGGCAAGGGAGGGGAACAGAGGAGCCCTCATCCCAAAGAAAGGTGTGTGGTGGGGTACCTTTTAAAGTTACCTAGAGGCAGCAGCAGAGCAAGCCCACATCCCCACCCCAGCCAAAGGTCCTGGGTGTCCTCCCTTGGGGGCCTTGACAAAACCGGGGCTCAGGGCAGCAGGCAGATGGGCCAGAGGGAGATGGGGAGCCCAGGACACCCCAAAGCCACAGACTCAAATGCCCCAGGACAGGGAGGCACCTCCTGTCCCCTCCAGGGGCATCATCTGGAGAAGGTGCCCCCTCCTGTCCCACCCCATGTGCCCCTCCTAGCAACAGCCACCACCAGCCGGCTTCACGGGGGTGCTGTCAATCTTGAGGTTGGGCCGCTCACCCCCTGAGGCTGCCCCAGGCCCCATCCGCTTTTTGATCTCAGCAGCCATGGTCATGAATGCCTGCTCGACATTGGTAGCGTTCTTGGCACTCGTCTCCAGGAAGGGGATGCCCAGAGAGTCTGCAAACTCCTGACAAGGGGAGAAGAGAGAAGAGGAGGGGAAGGAGGGGTGAGAGGCAGCAGACACCAGCCCATCCTGGGCGGCCTGACCCAGGCCCTGCTCACCTTGGCTGTGGTGTTATCCACCACTTTCTTGGTGGTGAGGTCGCTCTTGTTGCCCACCAGGAGCTTATTGACGTTCTCACTGGCATAGCGGTCAATTTCCTGTAGCCACTGCTTCACGTTGGCGTAGGATTCCTAGAGGAGCCAGAATCAGAAGTTATTTTGCTCTCAACTCCCATCCCTACCCAAGGCCAGGAGAACCAGGGCTGTTAAAGGGGGCTTCCCTGGGCTCCTGAGAGAGGCAGGAGCCCTGAGAGCTCAGGGAACCAGACAGAAGAAGTTTTCTCCTCCAGGTTTAGGTGTCCTCTCTGATGCCCTCCGTCTGAGACCCCCAAAGCCAAGCCTGGCACCAGCTATCTGCTAACAGCCCCAGTACATAAAACAGCCCAAGCCTAAGGGCCAGCCAGCTCTGCTTCATGCTGTTGGTCTCTCCCTGAGACACAGAAAAGGCTGAAAACCCGCAGGGAGCAAATAACAAAAGAGAGACCAGAGAGGAGACGGAAATGGAGGGGAACAGGTTAGCAAAGTTCCCATGGTGGCCTTAAAATCCCTGTAAGGTCTGAAGTCTTACAGCCCAATGGTTAGGTGGAGGGTCCTTGCAGAGGAGACCCTGGCCCATTGAGAGAGACACATACCCGGGAACAAGGCCAGACATGCATTCTGCTTCTGGCACCGACAGCCTCCTCACTCAGACCAGCCTTCCCAACAGCTGGCCACTCCCTTCCCCCTACCCCTGGCTCACAGACAAAGACAGATCTTTCAGGAACATGCGTGAGCCAGAGCCACTTTCCCCTCTTAGGAATCAGAACGTGGGGGGCTATCCCACTGGACTCGAACTTACACCTCCTGCGTGTCCTAGGCTGGGGCCCTGTGGACAAGGATGGGACACATACCTAGGTCCTACCCTAAGGCACTCAGGAGATAGTGGGGGACTAGAGCAGGACACACACGATGGCAAGACAGGGTGAGGAGCGCTGTAGGGATGGAAGGCAGGAGCCGCTGCAGCCCTAGGACTGCTTCTGCCCAGAGAGACTGCAGCTGACCTATGTCCGAAGGTACAAACCGGCCTTGTGTGGAAGCAAGTGGAGGAATGGGAAAGGTGCGAGGGGAGGAGATGACACACACCAGGTCAAGGAATGGGGTAGGGGGGTGAGGGGGCGCAGTGCCTTTGGAGAGCAGGGGGAAGCTGAAGGTTGCTGGCTACAGGCCCTGGGCACAGAAGGAAGGGGAAAGGAGGCAGGCCAGAAGATGGAAGGTCTTAGCTTGGCTGAATCTGGACAACCAGGAGCCCACGAGAGTTTTCTCAGGAAGGGAGCAGCAGAAGCACACCTGTGTTCTGGGAAGACAGTCCAGGTAGGAGTGTAGAGGCCAGTTCAGCCTGGTGAGAAGATGGAGACCAACTGGGAGGTGGCTGGAATATTCTAGGGAAGAAATGTGCGCCCTGAGCCAAGGAGTGAGGCAAGGAAGAGTGCAGGATTCAGAGTCAAGACCATCCTGGGTTAAGTCCCCAGCTCTGCCAAACATTTACTGTGAGACCCTAGATTTGTCACCTGACCTCTCTGAGCTTCAACTTCCTCACTTCTATAAAACAGTATCTCCCGATGGGGCTGTTATGAACATGAGATAACGAATGCAGGCCTGTCTCATGACAAGTGCTTAATTAGCAGGAGCTGCTATTATCCTCATCACTGCTATTATTACAAGGGAATGGACCTGAGAAAGAAGACAGAGAAGAGAACTGGGGGAAGGAAGAGTTTTCTGGTCAGACCAACAGGAACTCTGTTACAAAGATGGGGTTGTGGGAGATAGCACGGGGAGGGACAGTGAGGGCCGTGCTGGATACACGGAGTTCTGAAGATGACCCGGAGCTGAGAGGTTGGCTAGGGGAAGGGAAGGGTTGGCTTGGAAGCCAAGAACGCTGGTTCAAACACTGGCTTTGCCCTTTCTGGCTATGAGACCATGGGCAAGTCACCTAACACCTCCCTAAGCGTATCTCAGCCAGAAAACAGGGACCCCAGTACTCAGTTCACTGGACAAAGTGCCAGCAAGGTAGAACACAGAAGAAAAGACCCACAGTGATAGCCGTTTGCACAGGACTCACAGAACATAAGACAGGAACCAAACCACAAAGCGGCCAGACCCATGCAGGGAGAGTCAAGAAACACAAGATGAGGATGGGGGCAGGAGGTGGTAGTACAGAGCAAACCTGTAAAAACTCACGCAAAAGAGAATCTAATGCAGCAAAAGGTACGAGAGCTGGAGATAGTAAACTTTCCAAGGAGAGGGAAGAGAATGAAGGTAAAAGCCATGAAAGGTCAATCAGGGCAAGAACTGAAATGAGGTCATGGGACTTGGCAGCTAGAGGTCCTTGGCGACCTCTGTCTGAGTAGAGCACAGTTCACCCACAGCCTGTTGTCCAAAAGACATCATGAGTTCCCAGTGAGCCCAAGGGCCCAGCTGCCCTTCCGAGCGGGAACTCCTCCAGGCCCAGGGCTGATACAAGCATCTCCATGTGCCCAGGACCAGGCCCCCCACTAAGCAGCAAGGTTTAGTTGAAAGAACAAAGGCGGCAGAATCAGGTTTTCTGTCTGTCACTTAATGAACTGCGTGGCCCCAGGCAAGTCTCCTCACCATTCTGACCCGTTTCCTCATCTGTAAAGTGGGAACCTAGTGCAGACCCCTTTAGAGTGTCATGAGGCTGTGGCAAGTTCTCTAAAAACTATAAGGTATGGTGGGACTGTTTCAGGTTCTAATGCCACCACTGCTGCCAGTGACACATGACTAATGCTGCCACAGCAGACACTGGGCTTCTGCCTTGGCTCACAACGCGCCCCGAGTGCAGGGCTCCCCCACCTCCTTGTCTAAAGCCCTCCGATCGCTTCTCCACAGGATCTTCACACAGGAAGCCATGGGCCCAGCAAGGCAGCTGATCAGTTGACCAAACCCCTACAAAACACAGGTGCCCCGACTCTAGAATAAGGTGGCAAGTTTGGCCAAGAGCTGTGAGGCCTGGTTCTGCAACACCCTGCAGCAGGGCCTCAGGAGGATGCACTTCTGCGGCTGCTTCCCTCCTTGTGAAATGAGCCCGAGTACAGTCTCCCTTCCAGGCAGCATCCGGAAGAGAGGATGGGAAGAGTAAAAAGAAACAAGAACCAAAGACCGGGGGCACCTGACTGGTTCAGTCACAACATGCGACTGTTGATCTCGGGGTTGTGAATTTGACCCCCAAATTGGGTGTGGAGATTACTTAAAAAAATAAGACCTTTGGGGAAAAAAAAGAAAAAAGAAAAAAAGGGAACAAAGATCCAAAACTGAGGAGGCAAAGCCGGGAATGTGGCCCCAGGAGTACCTACCTGGTCGGTGACATCGTACACCACAATGATGCCATGAGCCCCCCGGTAGTAGCTGGAAGTGATGGTCCGGAACCGCTCCTGACCAGCTGTGTCCCACTGAAAGAAAGTAGGAGAGAAGGGAAGGACAGGTCAGCTCTGGGCTACGTGCCGAGAACCCCGTCCCAAGGCGGCTGCCCCTGCACCAGGGACTGGGAAGAGCAACACTCACGATCTGAAGTTTGATGGTTTTGCCATCCAGCTCAATGGTTCGGATCTTGAAGTCCACCCCGATAGTGCTGATATAGCTCTCTGTGTATGTGTCATCCTGGAAAAGCGGGGACCAGTGAAATGGCCTCAGTGAACAGGGCCAGGGCCCATCTGGAAAACCTCCCTCCAGGTCTCTGCCCCCAGCTGAGCTTGTAACTGCCAAGCCCCCACTCTCAGCACCCCAACCTGCCAGCCCTGTGTCTTTCATCCTTGGGGTCTAAGGTCTTGCAACTACTGGGCTCTGGGCTGTCCCCTCTCCCTCCTGCCACCAGCCAGGACCCCAGATGGACGGTATGGGAGGCTTCTTACTCACAGCAAACCGCAGAAGCAGGCATGACTTGCCCACGCCCGAATCACCAATCAGAAGCAGCTTAAACAGGTAGTCACTGGCAAGAAAGGATGGGAAGACGTGAAGGAAGGCAAAGAGCCCACCCGCCCCGCCATCCTGCAGTCACAACTACGACACTCTCCCATGCCGTGAGGCTTGCCTTGGTTTAGAGTATTAAGGTGCTCACAAGATCCTCCCACAAGTCCTGGGCAGGGGAGGGCGGACCACCGCCCATATTACAGCTGGCCCAAAGGACTGTCTAAATTCCCACCTTACGGGGAAGGAAACTGAGGCACGGAGAGAAACATGACTTGCCAAGGATCACAGTCATTAGGGGAAAAAGCTGGACATCCTATCCTGACTCCTGACAGGCTCCATGGTCTCGCGGCCAGTAGGGACCATCTAGGGAATCCCCCACACTTCCCTGGGGCCCACGTGGCTTGGCAGGGGAGGCCCCAGAAGTGGAAGCTAGGGCCCAGCCTAGAACTTAAGTGAACCTGTATGTAAGGAGCCTGGTAAGAAGAGGTGGTCAACAAGTAGCAACGGGAGCAGTTAAACCGCACTGAGTTCCTAAGCGTGCCTGGCCCTGGGTGGAACACTTCAGACACATCATCTCGTCTAAGCCTTACAACAGCCCTGTGAAGCGGACGGTGTTATTCCCAACTAATGAGGAAACCAGAGGTCAGAAGAGGGAAGTGTGACTTGCCCTCAGTTACACAGCTGTTAACTTTAAGACTGGAAACCAGGTTCAGACTCCAAAGTCTCTGTGAGAGCCTGCTGGTTCCCTTCTGTGTCCCTGATAAGCCAGCTCAGAGCTTCACCCTTCCCCAAGGAAATCTGAGGCCTGGATCTGGAGGAGAAAAAGGAAGTGGCGGAAGAGGAAGAAGGTAACTGACACTGGGGGAAATCTGTCAATGAGAAGTCCGGGACAGAGATGTGGGCCACCTACCCGCAGGGGGAGTGACCAAGAAGTGAGGAGAGTCTGAGGTACAGAGAATCCCACTGGAAGGGAGAAACAAATGCCACATTCATCTAAACTTCACCGGCAGCGTGACGGGGAAGGGAAGGGGTGTGACGATGGCGCTGGGGGCCTGCGCAAAGGTGAGGAGAGGGCGGGAAGGGACTGGCCTCCAGGAGCGGCAGGACGGCTAGACCCAGGCAAGGGGCAAAGCGGCGGTCCCGGAGGGGAGGACCCACGAGAGAGCGACCCAGCGCGGTGCCTCGAGGCTGCCCGCGCCTGACCAGCCCCTGAAACAGGATTCCGGGAGAACGGGAAGAACAGAAAGGCTGACTGTCTGACCTAAAGGGCGCCCGAGTCTGGACCCGCTCCAAAACGCCGGGACAGTCGTCAGCACCCAGACCGCCACTCTCAAGCAGCAGGTGGGGAAACTGAGGCCGGGAGAGACCGAGGCTGCAGGGTCACCTGACCGATAAGGCCTGGTAGGAGCCGGTGCTTGGGACTCCAAGTAGTGCCCCTCGGGGTCGCAGCGTCTGGGCGCCGGGTGCAAGAACTCGGGGTGCCGAGCCGGGGTCCGGGGGCCCCCGGGGGGAGGGGCAGGACCCGGATGTGGGGGGGGGGG